TCTGCCGTGCCCCCGCGGCTTCCGCCAATATCTCTTTAAATGTTCTACATTGTCTTTTTATTGATAATTGATGCTCTATTTCTCCTGTTCCTCATGATTTAAGCACAAGCAATTCATAACGCTTCCACTTAAAAAATGGGGATAAAAATTTGCCTCTTTGATCTTATGTGAGATTTTTCCTGGGACATGTGGAGACATAAACCACTTTCTTGTCTTCCCATTTTCAGATGCAGTGAGGTCAAGGCCTGGATATGGTCAGTTACTCAGCTGACCTTAGACAACCTGACCTCACGCACTCAGAATGCTTAAGTAAAGTTGTAGCTACAGGTATAAGTAAGTCAAGAAGTGCTAAATGCACTAGTTAGAAAACATAAATGGAAAACTTCGATCACAGTTCTCTGCTGTCTGCTTTTGCCACATTGCTGGGTTGGCATTTACTCATTGATAATGAGACTAAGAGCTCACCTACCACCAGTGAATGAAAAGCAGAGGTGACTTTACTTTTCCCTCTGTTCTCCGTCTTGGGAATATGGGAATGAGAAGGTGATTCTCCTCAGATGGTTGTATATTTTAGGTGGTGTATATGTTTACATATGCATATATATGTGTGTGTGTATATATATATATATATATATATATACACACACACATACATACATATATATATTCTTTAGTTATTATCTACTTTAAGTTCCATGCTTTACAAATAAGGAAACTGATGTTTCTTAACAGCTTGATATATTTCAAGAGATGATTTATTGATATTATTATTATTATGCCCAATTCTACCAGTTTTAGTGAAAAATAGAAAGATTCAATTTCCTACCTCTTTCTTTCTTTCTCTTTTTTTTCCTTAGAGAGATTTTTGCTATTGAGTGGTGTGCTCACCAGAGACCCAGAGAAAGACAGAATGTGAAAAATCACCCCCCAGGGGATAACCATGTTGCAATCCCTTCTCCTCTATTCTCTTTTTGGGATTTTGGGTACATATGCATACATGCCCAGCATGAGTTTTAAGCTGTGGATCCGGGGCTCAAACCATGGTTGACTACGTGGGAGTCTAGTGATGTAACTGTTATGCCATCTGCTGGTCCCCCTCCCTCTTTTTTTTTTTTTTTTTGAGAGGTTTTTGCTATAAGGTTGGTTTGTTCACTTGCCAGAAAGACAGAGAGAGACAGAGAGACAGAAAGCAAGAAATCACCCCCCCCCCAGGGAATGGCCACACCGTCATCTCTTCTCCTCTATTCTCAGGATCTTGGGCATGAATGCACATGCTCCCGGTATGAGTTTAAGCCACTGGGTCTGGGCCTCGAACCACGGTTGACTACATGGAAATCCAGCAACACAACCATTATGCCAACTGCTGGTCTCCCCCTACCTCTTTCTTAAAGAGAAGCTTTTTTTTAAAAAAATTTACATGGCTTTAGACTAGTTAGGGAGCTGAAAACCAAAGGATCAAGACATTGATGATGATTAGTAATAATAACATTAAAACTATTGGTTGTATTATGACTTACAAGCCAATTTTAGATTATTATTATTGTTGTTGTTGTTGTCGTTATTTTGCCATATCTGTTTTGCAGGAGAGCCATGGATTACTACAGAAAATATGCAGTTGTCATTTTGGCCACATTGTCTGTGTTTCTGCATATTCTCCACTCCTTTCCTGATGGAGAGTTTTTAATGCACGGTGCGTGACCAAATTTGGATTTAAAATAATTAGGGCAATGCACACATCTAGATGTACCTTAGTAACTTCATTAATTACTTTTCTACCTCCTTCACGTGTGGTAGATCTTCGTTGTTCGTTACATATCTTGGCACTTGTAGACCGTGAATGTACAACTAAGTTAGGTTCAGAGAATGTGCAGTGAAAATGGTATCTTACATATCCATTTAAATAGCCTGTACATTTTCATCTGCAATAGATTCCTTATTATTTATCTGAATTTTGAAGAAGAAAATGCTCCTTATTAATTTATCTCAGTTTTTAAAACAATGTTTCTCCCACAAGATTTGAGAAAATTTTAACATTGTCTTTGTATCGGTTAACAAGTAAGAAAAACAAAGCCATTGTGTAGTAAATTTGTGTTGCTATACTGGTTGAAAGCTTTCATACAGTGGCTGATACAATTCTACCTGCTTCGAAATTTTGAATTACTCTTGATTATGGTTTCTGTCTAGACAAGTGTTAATATTTTAGGTCCAGCCACCATGTGCAGATGCCTTATCTAATATCAGACTTGCTACATTCACCTTCTTAATTCTGACATATTTTTTTCTATCGGCATTTGAAATTTTTATAGGGGGAAACCAATAGCAAATTTTAAAAAGAAATAGCCTTCTGTCTCTGGTTAAAATTCTCTCTCTCTCTTTTTTTTTTTGCTAAAAGTGCATGAGCTTATGAGAGAGGGAGAGAGAGAGAGAGAGAGAGAGGGAGAGAGAGAGAAGAGAAGAAATAGAAATCACCTCTGCTGGGGGGATTGCCATGCTGCAATCCCTTTCCCTTTAGTCTCCTCTCCAGATTTTGGACATGCACACACACATACTGATGTGATTTTCAAACGTCCAGTTTGAGACTCAAATTGTGCCGTTGGCCATGTGGAATCCAGCTACTTTAACCTCCACACAATCTATGGGTCCACAAAAGTCTCTTTTTAGATGAATATGATGTTTTCATCAGTCAAGTTTTATGCTCCCTCTAGACATATTATTATCACTAGGATAGAAAGTCCATTTTTTAAAAGAATTATTTTTATTTAATTTTATTTATTCATTCATTTATTTTCATTTGACCAGACACACACACACACACACACACACACACACACACACACACAGAGAGAGAGAGAGAGAGAGAGAGAGAGAAAGAGAAGAAAGAGAAAGTGAGAAAGTGAGAGAGTAAGCTACCAGGTCACCAGGTCCAAGACTCAAACCCTGGTTGGCCATATGGGAGTGTCCAGTGCTTTAACCACCACGCCACCTGCTGGCCCCAGAAAGTCTATTTATTCTTCATGAGAAAAACAACTGTAACATAGTCCCATGAGTGTCTGCAAAAATTGTTTTCCCACAAACATAATAATAGATATTATATATGAAGTTTAACATATATCCTAAAAGTACTTATTTCCCTTTTACTTTTGATGAAAAAGAAGATGTATCATCATTTTTCATAATAAGGAAAAAGTCATAGATTCTTTCTGAATCTTTTTTTTTTTTTGAGAGATTTTCGTTATAGGGTGCGTGCGCTCGCCAGACAGACAGAGAGAGACATAGAGACAGAAAGCAAGAAATCACCACCCAGGGGGGATGGCCACGCCGCAATCCCTTCTCCTCTTGGGATCTTGGGCACACACGCACACACACCCGGTGTGAGTTTTAAGCCACCGAGTCCGGGACGCGAACTGCGGTCGACTACGTGGGAGTCCAGCGACATAGCCATTACGCTAACTGCTGGTTCCCCTGAATCTTTTTTCATTGAAAAAGATTTGATTGAATGATTTTATTCTTCACCTTTTCTAAAAAACATTTATTATTTATTTTTCCTTGAAGGTTGCCCAGAATGTAAGCTGAAGGAAAACAGATACTTCTCCAAGTTAGGTGCCCCAATTTATCAGTGCATGGGCTGCTGCTTCTCCAGAGCATATCCCACTCCAGCAAGGTCTAAGAAAACAATGTTGGTTCCAAAGAATATCACCTCAGAGGCCACATGCTGTGTGGCCAAAGCATTTTCCAAGGTAAGACCTTAAAGCGTCCCAGGTGCTTTGTAACAGTGTAGCCTGAGAAATGTTCATAGAACACATCCACAGGATTTAATGCCAAGATGTCTAATGACCCATCCTGTGTTGGCTAGTTATACAGGTAGGGGCTGTGCTTGTATTCTTAAAGACTCAGCTTTTGGGTACAGGCTGGATTTATCCACAATGAAGACAACAGTGGTGGAGGGCACATTGGGAGAGCATAGTACCCAATGTATATCTGACCTTCAAAAGTGAAAATATTCCCTGAATAAAGGGCATGAAATGTAGCAAGCCTCTGTTAAGTTGAGTGGACTAAAAACATTTTTAAAAAACATTTTCCAAATCTATCATCATCTATATAATATCCTTTTTTTTCCCTTCCCTTTTAGGCCACAGTAATGGGAAATGCCAAAGTGGAGAACCACACAGAATGCCACTGCAGTACTTGTTATTATCACAAATCTTAAATATTTTGTAAAGGGCCACGTTGAAGCTGCTGATTTCCTGGGATGGAAAATTAAGCTGCTCAGTGTTTATGGCCTTATAAGATAAAACCCTCTTTTCCCATAGCATGCCATTTTAACATTCTTTGAGGGTATATTGCAGCTTTCTTGCCTTCTTCCTTATCTTTCAGTATAATCAGTAGTCTATCTCTTTTCATTTGGATTAAAATATAGCATGTAGTATGCCTATGAAAACGGGGTTCCACTGGAAATAAAGCCTTTTTAATTCATTATTCAACCATTGAATTATATTTCTTTTCTTTAACATAAACCAGTTGCTTTTGGTAGGATTAATTAAACAAAGTGAGCAGCAGATGAGCTGGGAACACATATATTTAGAGTATTGACATTGGAAAACCTTGCTCCAACCAGGCCTTCTAAAAGGAAGCTATGAGACCTTTCAACCAGTGGGCTGGTTATAAGATAATCTATTGGGGTGAGAAAAGAAAATAAGAGAATTTCTATTTCTATTCACTTTTATATTATCCCTTTAAATTTCCATTTTGATGGATTTCTAAAAGCAGATGTATTAGTATGGTAATATATGCACACCATTTATAAATAAATAATTATGCATATATTGGGGATGTTTGATCAGAAACTTTTTATGGATAGAAGTATGTAATCAAAAAAAGGGGTGGGGGAGTTAAAAAGGAGAACACTGCTCACAGATTTGAGAAAGACAAAATCCTGGCTGTCCTGAAGATTTATCTATTTGTCTTATGCTGGGCCACAAAAGGAGGGCATATTACTAGACTCTGGCAACCAAGCTATAATTAAATGATGTCTAAGAGAAGGCATCATTGCCTTCAACTACAATTGAACATCTCTCCCAAATTCCAGAGGTGTCAGGTCTTATACTCCACATTCAGCTCTGCATTGGAATGAACTGATGAACAAAGTATTCACTGAGCACTTACTGTGTGCTAGGTTGAGTACCAAGCACTTTCACTTATTTCATGAAAATGCTTCAGAGTAGTGCCATGCTCCAAAGCCACATTTATTGAGCATTTATCCTTAGAAACATGGGTCTTTACCTTGAGGACAATGGTTTTATACCCATTAAATTATATCGGCCATGGTGAAGATCAAAGCCATTCAAGAATTCTTCTCTTAAATGAGCCTGAAATTCAAAAAAATTATGGTGGTCACAGATAAAGTTTTTAAAAAGAAACTTCAATCATCATCAATTTGTGAAAATTCTATTTCCAAGTGACAAGCCAGTTCCTCAGCAGACAGGTAGACACACCAGGTATCAGAGTAAAAAGTTAAAATCGGTGCATGTTTTTAAGAAACATGAAAATACACTTGAAGATATTAGTTCATTTTTCATTCAATCATTAGGATGTGTTTATTAAATTATTGATACTTTGTTAGATTGTGAGGATTCAGAGATATCAAGATTCTCTGGAAGACTGAGAAAATACAAGTCTTAATCTGGGAGAACAACAGTACTGATCACTGGTTTATTCAAATATTTAACATATGTTCTTTAAGGTTCTACTAGGTATCAAATCTTGAGAGCTTGTTTCAAGAGTCCATTGGGGAACCAGCAATGGCGTAATGGTTACATTGCTGGACTTGCGTGTAGTTGACCATGGTTTGAGTCCTGGACCTGGTGACTTCAAACTCACACCGAGTGTGTGTGTGAGCAGGCCCAAGATCCCACTGGAGGAGAAGGGATTGTGGCATGGCCACTCTGTCCTGGGTGGTGATTTCTCACTTTCTGTCTTCCTGGAGAGCCCGTGTGCCCTATAGCAAAAATCTCTTTAAAATAATGTCCATTAGGATAGAAAAAGCACTGACACATTTGACTGGCATGAACTTGTCCATTTAGGGTCACCCCATTTGACAGAGGAATAGTGAGAGAAGAAGGAGACATGTCCATGGCCATCAGGATCAGCCGAATCAACCCTGGTAAGACTAGGGTGAAATGTTATGGCCATACTTACTCATCTTGTGAGCAGGCATGGGACTGGCCCTGGGAAGGCCATGATGATTAAGACACAGACCCTGCCCTAAAGCAATTCATGTTCAGCCTGGAAGGAACATTAATTTAAGATTATAATCCAGGGAGATACATGCTATGGAACAGGCATGGACTTTGGTGGCATGGGGAGAGGGGTGGCTACCTCAGACCATTGCAGGTTGTCATGGAGGGCTTCCTGGGGCAAGTGATACCTGAGCTGGGTCTAGAACAGAAGCAGATAGCTGGGGCAGAGGTGCATCCTAGTTTGAGAAAACAGCATAAACCTGAAATGGGAAACAGTACGATGGCCACAGAGTTGTAGAAAGTTCAGTGTGACTGGATTACAAGGAGCAGATTGGAGGGCTGAAGCTGTAGAGACAAATAAGCACCTGTCAAGAAGGTCCTGGAATAATATGCAGAGAATGTGGATCTCAGCCAGGTTCATAGCTTCTCAAATTGGAGAGCCTGAGCGTTCCTGAAGCTGCAGGATAAACACACACCATTCTGCAGTATCAATTTTGTTTGAAGACTGAGGGATATGTGATTTTATTTCAAAACAAAAAATGAGCAAATTGTAGAATAAAATACAAAGTTGCAAAACATAAAAAAAAAAAAAAAACTTAAAAAGAAGAAAACCAGCAGCTTAAAAAGAAATTCTATACTGCGGATGAAGCTGTCTAGATCTTGCTTTTCTATTCCTTCCACACTCCATTTCATAGTTCTTGCATTAGGAGTACTTACGTGTAGGAGTATGAGTTCTTTTTGAAAAGAATATGTTCAGCTTTGCAGTTTGGAAAAATCATTCTGGCAGCAAGTAAAGGTTGATTGGAAAAGGTGAGCTACTGGACCGAGGATCACTAGTTGGGACCTTTGGAATTATCTTCTCAAGAGATGGCGATGGCCTACTGGTAGCGGGGATAAGAGGAAGACACAGATGTGAGAGGCATAAGGAAGAGACAGACGTGTCTGTGGGTATGACTTCTGGTCTTCTGGATGGCTGTGGATGACTGCGGCAATAGCTGGGAAAGGGAAAGGTCTGTGTGCTAGCACAGAAGGGACATGATGAGTTCAGTTTGGGACCCACTGAGTTGAAGTATTTAAGGAATACGAGGTGAGCACAGTTTTCCAGTCAATGAGTATGGTGCTATGAGTTTAGGAAAAAACCTCAGCATGGAGGTACAGGTCAGAGGGTCATCAGCAGTTGGTGGATTCAGAACCGCAGGGTGAGTAGGATTGCTTTAGGAGAGTGAGAATGTGACGTGGGGAAGAACAGATGCTGGACCACCAAGGGTAGATTCTGGATAAGCCTGTCTGAAAAAATAGTCATTACGGTTTTGGGGATAATCAAGTTAAAAGCTCTGTGCTCTACAGAAAATACTATAATATCAGATACAGAAGCAGAGAGGAGGAAGACAGGTGGGCATGGAAACTAACAATTTTGTTCCAAGCCCATCTGTCAAAAATACCTGAAAGAAATACTGAATGCAGAGTAAGCATGTCTGAGGGGTACTTCTGTAAACAAAAAACCAAGGGACCAGCAAACGGCATAATGGTTTTGCCATTGGACTCCCACATAGTTCACTGCGGTTCAAGTCTTGGACCTGATGGCTTAACACTCACACTAGGCACGGATGTGTGTTTGCCCAAGATTCTGAAAGAATGAAGGAGAAGGGATTGCTGTGTAACCATCCCCAAGCAGTGATTTCTTGCTTTCTGTCTCTCTGGTAAGTGCACATGCCATATAACAAAAATCTCTCTTTAAAAACAAACAAAACCTCCAAACAAACAAACAAAAACAAAACAAAACAAAACAAACAGCAAAACTCCATCTTCACTTCAGTCAAAGAACAACCCCAAATTCTCTCCTTTGAGAATCCTTTGGCTCAAATATGGTATCCCGAGCCCATCAGTCCCTTCCTCCTACCTCCCTCCCTTTTTTCCCTCCTTCCTTCCTTTCTTCCTTCCTCTCTTCCTCTCATGTTTATTAATTTATTTCTTCCACATGCGAGAAAGACAGAGGATGGCATCCTCAACAGGATCCTCTTGCTATGATCCACTTCTAATCTCAGTCCTGCTCCGTTCTCTCTGTACTGAGAGCTTGGGAGAGGCCCTGAACCCTGGTAACCAGAGAGAGAGAAGTATCTGGCAGGATGTTAAAAGGATAAAACAAATAAGCAAGACTTCATACTACTTCTACTTCATAGTTGTGTCAAGATTTGACCTTCAACAGATACTCCAAAGTGGTTATGAGGACATCCCTCACTGATGATCAGAATTCAAGGAGAAGGTCATTAAAACAGGGATGGCACCAGTCCTTCAGCCTGTCTCTGCAGAGTGAGAGAAAAAGGTCCAAAAAGATAAGGGAAAAAGGGAAGGGAGGACAAAGAAGAATGAAGCTGCAGAGAAAGAAGGGGGAGAAAAAAATGTCAGAGGGGAGGGAGACAAGAAGGGCTGCTGGAGGAGTCTGTAGCCTCAGAGGTGTCAGAGCAGGATTAAAGCAGAAAGTAAAAGCCAGGACGCTATTCACTTTCAACCCCCCTTGTCCGCATATTGGAATCTAAATAATCAACTGTAGTTAAGACCTCAAGCTTCCATAGCTCTAGGCAAGAACAGCACCTTGAGTAAGTGGCTTTACAATCAAATGGCCCAGAAAAGGGACTTTCACTTTAGGCAGAGGCAGAGGCAGAGGCAGAGGGAGCTGGATATTCATCAGCCTTTACCACCTGGCTGGGCAACTTTGAGTAAAATGCAAACTGTGAACTTTTCCGTGGCAGCCGCTCCCAAGCATCATCTTTTTAAAAGACAACACATCCGACAGAGGTGATGTGGCCATTGACACCTCAAGATAAGTTAGTTTAAAAGACCACCAGTTCACTTTGCATTATCTCATCATCTTAATATGACTGCTGTTACATTTTAGAGAGACACAATGTCTTAAATTCTTGACAATTTTAGTGGATATCTGAGATTCTGAATGTTGATGTCTTAATTATTC